TATCTTGACTGACTTCTTAACCCTGGAGAGCAGATGTGACTGGTAAACACTGCATTTAGAGAGCCACGTGTAGAAAGCCTCCTCCCTGTTAGCTTCCTATTCCCTTACAAAAATAGAACAAGCCTTTCTTTTTCTATGTGAAGTGTTGCAGTTTCTAGTCAAAGATGAATCTTGTTATCTTGGTTTTGGTATTTGAGGTTGCTTAGGCTAAGTGCTTCTGAAAGAATGTTTTTAAAATTTAGGCTTTTAGATGGGTTTGTCACTTCTGTTGTTTTTTATTTTGTGGTGTGGTTTCTCTTAGAGGATTTCCTTTTTTTCTTCTTTCTGGAAAGCCTTGTTTAATACTGAGGTTAGTTGATTAATGTTTTTCTAGTCAATTACAAATGAAATTCCCTTTAAAAATAAGGTTTAAGGCAACATTTTAATAATTCACTGTTGGAATACTTTAAAGTCCTCCCACAGGTCCCAGCAAATGCTCTATATTTATTGTAGCTTCTTCTGGAGCTAATGAAATTTCCTGTTTATGTAATTACCCATCAAATAGATTACTACTGCAGGCATTCACCAGCGTTTTGTTTACAAACATTCTTCAGTGTGGTCCCTTGTAGCAATATACTGTGATACTTTCTTCACCACCTTTTGTACTTTCCTTTGTGTGTCATCTTCGCACAGTAATGATTTTTGTAATGCATTTGTTGAGCCTTTTGGAATGCAGCAATACTCTGCATTTTAGGATTGAAGTACTGCCACAGGAAGCCAAGGAGCTGGTTACAAATGAATGGATCTGCTGTACAAATTCCATCTCAGTCCATTGTTTCTGTTGGCCTTGTCTTTTCTTGGGTAGTATAAGCAGTGGGAGCATCAGAGCAGTACTCCTGGGGTACGTATGGATGTACTAGTGCATTTGCACAGCATTGCCATCTGCTTTATGAGCAGTTTCATCTGCAGTTCTTTGCCTTGCACAAGTTCTCACAAGAACAGGAAGTCTGGTGGTTTGCCCAGTGAAGAAACGTAGTTTGGATCCACAGACTTTTAGAAGTATATTGAGCAGAAGAATATTCTGAAGTGCAGCCCAAGTCTCAGCTTCAAATGGAAAATAGCATGTGTTTATAAAATACAATAACGGTTTTTGAGTCCACTTGCCCAGTCCTGAACCTATAAGGCATGATAGGCCTATAGAAGTAGCATGTATGGAAATAGAAATTTATATAGAAGCTATAGGGAAGGATGCAACATATTTGAAAGGAGTACAGGTTAAACGTGGAATATGAGTCAACAAAAGGTGATGAGGTTGGCAGATGAACAAGGAAGCAGTTTTTCAGTGTGTGCTGAAGTATTTAGATCCTGCTGACTTACTGATCTTATAAAAGTTTTGAAGGCTGCACATTACTTGGATTTTAACACATGGCAGTTTGATTCGGTGGAACGTGAGCTACTGGTTATGTTCAGCTGAATTGCTCTACTAATGATCTTTGTTTTCTTTGCTATCCTCCAGATCATTTGTGCATAATAAAGAAATATTCAGTTTCTTGTTAGAGTATTTCTGCTCCTGTCTGTTCTTGATGTGGAAGCTGGATGGTGTGGCTGTTGATCACTCTGTTGTGTATTCGTGGACAGGGGTTACTGCTGACTTACCAAATGTCTGATTTTTTTACTTTACCTTGAGGAATTACCTGCACAGTCCACCTTCCTTCCTTCCCCCCATTCCCCCTCCCCTTTACCAGCCAAACAACTGATGCAACTCTGTAAACTTCACAGAGGCCACCTGAGCAGTCAAACAGGTTACTTTGGGTTTCTATACATCCTGCTACATGCCAGCATGGAAGTGGGAGGGAAGGCAGGTTGTGAATGTGTTGCACTTTATCAGAACAGACTTTAGACTTTCTGTCAAATGTCCACAAGTCATAAGAAGAAAGAAAGAAAAAAAGTAAAGATAGAAAAGGAGCTGCCATTTGGAAGACAAAATCAAGCCTAGGACTCTTCCACAGAAGAATTAGAGGTAGGGATGATAATTGTAACTGTCCAGCCTGTAGAATTCTGCAGCCTTTCTGTCTTTTCTTATAACCTTAACCATTGTGAGTTAAAATTTCTTTTAGTATATACTGATCATAATCAGCTTTAGTCAGTAACAGAAAAGAAGTTTTCAGCCTAAATAGAAACAGGACCATGGACTTGAGTAATTAATGCTTTGCATTATTTGTTTCAGGTGTTGCCAGAGTAAGTTTGCTCACTGGAGGACAAGAAATGAGTAGTATCTCTGATGAATTGTAAGGTGAAGTTTTGTTAAGTTAGTACTTGAAAATTGATCCTCAGTATTTGCACTGAGAAAGTAGAATGTGCATGTTAAAACCAGAAAGATTTTAGGTCTTAGATATGTTCATTCTTGCTTCAGGAATGCAATGTGCTTAATCCATTTCCTTACATGTGTTTTGGCAGCCTGGTTTTTTTGCAGGTGGGTAACCATAAATTATCTCAGTAGCTAGTTTGATATTTTCTAACACGTCCATTCATACATATACCTACCTGACACCTGTCTGACCCTAAAGGAGATCCATAAGCCACTGAGAGGATGTGACGGGTGAGGAGAGGTTTGTTTCCCCCAGGATGTATCTGCATTCTGTATTGGGTGCTGTAAGAATATATAAGAAGTGAATAGACCACAGATAATGTACAGTGGATGAGGGTGTACCCATCTGCATCACTTTTACTCTCAGCATTGATGTTTAGTGACCTTTTTCGTTAATTGCTCTTTTTTATGGCAATGCTACTTTGTACATGTAATGCAGCCTTAGAGCAAATGAAAAACTTTCTTTCAAGATGTGGGTTTGGTTTTGTTTTGGAAGTTTGTTTTATCAAAGCAAGTGAAGGCAGTTCTACCAGGATTATCCTTAAGAGCATTTCCCTTATAAGATTCTTTCATGCTGATTCTTCATAATGCGTGTTAAAACTACTCTATGTATAGAACATATTGACAGTGTAGTTTGTACATCAAAACCAATAATAAAAATATTTTTCCTTTAATTGTCAACATAAGTTGAGGATTATCAGGTGCATGTGCCTTCTGTACCTGATGACATTTACTTAAACCTCTTTTATGATTGCAGATCTTTGCTCAGGTAAATGTACCTGTAAAGAAAAAACTTAAATTAATATTTCCCAGTTTCTTTTAAGGGATGTAATTTCTTCATTGTATTGATATTTTTAATAACTAGCTGTATTTTTTTTAATGCTTCCATCAGTTTCCTACTTCTCTTTGCAACAAATAGTGTTGCCATTAAATTGTGAAATATTTTTCCTTTGCCTAATTCACATTCTCATAAAGTTAATTGTCCTCTGAACTGCTATAGATACTAAGGTTTGGGTATCCACACTTAGATCCAGAAAGCAAGTTTGTAAAGGTTTCATTTGTGCCGTTAGCTGAAAATGTTGCATTTATTTTAATTTGTATATTTTAGCCCTTGAATTTAACTGTGGTAACAAACAAATAAATGTTGTATAAGGAAACAGGTGGTTTTGGACCCACCCTATTTGTCTCTGAGTCTTTGAGAGGAAAAGGTTGATGGTGGCAAAACTTAGAAAAGCAGAAGCTGACAGCTGTGAATGTTTCCTTTCTTCTTTGGTCGTCTGAGCTCTGTTGTGCGAGTGCCTTTCAACAAACAAGAAAAGAGTAGCTGCGTATGAACCATGTGGGTCAATACCTGGTAGCATTCTGGGCAGATTCTGAAGGGGTAAAAAACCTTCTGATTTTGTTAGTTTGTAGAGAAGAGATAATTTGTGTGTGTGATTCAAAATCTCTATCACTATGCTAGGCAGTGATAAAGAAATAGGCCACCGAGGTACCACGCAGAGGAACTGTTTCAGGAGTGTCCCTCCTCCAGGAGCTGTTTGAAGTAGCATGCATAGATGTCCTTGTCTTGGGCTGGAGAGTCCAGGAAATGTTTTTTTGTTGCATTGATTTTTAAAGCATTTTCTTGCATGCGTAACTGGTCAGCTTGTCCTCAGGGAGATATTTCACAGCCGTTCTGTTTGGCTGAAGAGATGACTTTCCCTTTGGGATTTGATGGGAAGAGGTGAATGGGTTTAACCATTCACTGTAAAAGTAGTGGGTTAAGTAATGTTACTTCTAGATACAGGTCATATCAAAGACTACTGAGCCTTCAGAGAAGCTATATAAAACAATAAAATTAAGTGATACTGCCACAGGCATTAAGAAAACAAAGTACAAGATCTTACGCTTCTTATGTTGAGAACTTGAATAATGTGGACAACACTGGATTTAATCAATTTAATAGTCACTTTATTTTGTAGTGTTTTCAGTCTTCTTAGAATTACCTCGCATGCTTGACAAAAAGGTACATTTTGTGGTAGACCCACTGAAGCCAAAAGAAAAAGCAGAGAAGGTCATGACATGGTTAAAATTAGAAGTGAGAGCAAATGTCTTTTAGGTGCCTGTCTCCCTTTCCGCATGTTTACTTTAAGAACTGGTGATCATCCCATTATATGGCCTTAGGTGGTATTGTGTTTGTGCAGCTAAGGGTGTGTGTAGTCTTTGTTAAACACAGTTTAGAGATCATATTTTATGTGGGTGCTGTATTTGATTTCATCTGCCATTTGAGTCATGTTCTTTGTAGACTGTATTTTTGCAATTTCTTAAACTCGCCTTTTCTTTTTCAGTTCTGTCCTTGTAAAGCTGTAATTAGCAAGCTATGTTCTTGCTATGTGGTACAATGTTTTTATCAGGTTGTAGAAATAAAAAGAGTTGTGAGTTTTGGCCTGTATGATTCTTATTCAAAAGCAGCTTGTAAATCTGCTTGAAACTGTCCTTTAGGAAACCTTCCTTGGTATTGCTGCTACTTATGTACTCACACGCACATTTACAAACATATATATATATATAGTTGTGTATGTGTGTATTTATATATGCAGTCTTTGTAAATTTGTCCCTTCATTCACCTGTTCATGAAATTGAAGTAGTTCACAACAGCTTCCCTCTTTTAAAGATTATTCCGAATTGGGAGAACTTCCACCGAGATCCCCGTTGGAACCAGTGTGTGAAGATGGCCCCTTTGGGCCAGTGAAAGAAGAAAGGAGACGGACGCCCCGTGAGCTTCGTGAGCTGTGGAAGAAAGCCATTATCCAGCAGATACTGCTCCTTAGAATGGAGAGAGAAAACCAGAAGTTACAAGGTTAGTGAAGTTCTTGATTACACCTTACTCCAGTACAAGTTCATTTTTTGGTTTGCTCTGTGGCCTTGGCAGTGAATTGAACAAAGTTGTAATTTAAACATTTTAGAAATATACATGTAAATGGGTTCAACAATATCTCCCTCAACTCTCATTAGTGTAGGTTACACTTTACACTTTTTTTTTTTTTTAATCACTTCACCTCACTGTTTATTTACTTGATCTTTTTTGTTACTCTCTTAGTTTTACCATGTCTGAGTTTTTTCAGTCTGGTGTCTAGAAGCTCTGACAACGAATTCAGCACAGCCACTACCAGGCACTGAATTCTTTTCTGCATTCCCATACATAGTCTTTCTCTAAGTACTGACCATTGCAATGCTCTATTTAGCCAGCCCTGAAGCTGAACTGAAATTCTTAAGGAGCTGACTGTGAACTTCTCTGGGTGCCTGCCTGTGTACACACACTGTGCAAGCAAGGTTTGTATGGAGCAGTAATGACATAATGATCAGTCAGAAGGGTGATGAGAAGGAGCTTCAGAAACTGGAATTTGCCTTTGTTCTTACCCAAAATGGTTCTGTAGCTGAATGTGTAGCTGCAAACAATCCGTTGTGGTGGCAATTTTTACACGTAAAATGCAACGGATTAAAAATACACATTTCACTGTAGCAGCTGCATACAGAATTACAAGTGATTGCCCCTGAAAGCTACTCCTTTGAATAAATGACTGGTGAGTACAGAGATGTTTATCTGTTTGATTTTAGATGTTCAGGAAGGAAGTAAGCACCTGGATCTTAGAAGTGGTGAGGTACCTGGCATGAAACTCGCAATTCTTCTTTGCCTTTGTGTAAATGTGAGGAAGATTTGTCTTCCAGGAAGAAGTGTTAGAGAAAGGGCCCAGCTGCGTGAAAATGGCAATATAACAAATATGAAAATCCTTCTTTAAATTTGGGCTGAGACTCTTGTCTGGAAGGAGAAAACACCTCTCTTGGACATTGGATATGGCCTGCCAGAACACTTACCCCACCTGTAGGCTATTTTCTCCTAGTAGTACAGCTGTCCTATTTCATCCCTGGTATCTGAAGAACACCTCATATTTGAATTTCCTAAGAACCCCACAGGTGACAGTCATGTTCCCCAGCAGATGTACTTGCTTGCTAAGCCAGTAAAATAAAACAAGGCAGTGGATACCAAATAGTGCCTTTGGCTGAGTGGCCAAGTCTGTCTGGAGAAAGAGATACCAAGAGCAATGATTTGTACAGTCCCTTCAGCTTAGAACAATGCTGTCATAAATGAGCTTTTATCAAGTCATTCCATAACTTGGCATTTTTATGGGACCTAGGATTTAAAAATAAATTTTCTCTGTATATTTATCTTTTGTATATTCAATTTATTTTTTTTTTAAATTAACTTGTATTCAAGATAGCATGGGTCTGTGAATAAAGAATGTAATCTACAGGGGAAAATCAAAAGCAACAAGAAACCAGGACTAAAAAAAACCTTAAAGAGTAAAATTAAGCTACAGCTGTCTGTTTCAGGGTGGGTAAAGCACGTGTCAGTACTGCCACGTTAATGGTGAGAGTGATACATTTGCCTGCCACTAAATTAGCCTGTTTTTCTCTCTTTTTGGCAAGCTAGGCTGTTATGCCACAAGTACACATGCAGCCAAGGTCATGTTTTAAAATGAAATGTACTGCTTTGAAATGAAAAGTCAAAAGCTTAATGAGAAAATGTCAAAATGAAATACTCTGAGGTCCAGCTCTTGCAAACACTTAGGTAACGTATGAATAATCTCACTGAATGAAATCATTCACACATGAAAGCAACTACAGGATAAGGAGTTAAGGTGGACACTTCCCAGATACAAACGCTTTGTTTCTTTTTCCATTTTTACAATCTAGAATCTTCTTCTAGGCAGTGGGAGTACAGGACAAGCTAACATTTTGCAACTCTCAGAATCTGATAATCTAAAAACCCTCAGCAGCAAATGCAGATCTCAGCACAAGATGAGCATAGTGTGTTGGCTGTGGTAGTGTCATAATGGGCCATGTGAGTTTCAGGTGATATGACTGTTTAGCAAATTCATATAAGCAAGTTGAACACACAAACAATGGAGTGTTATAACATCCTTTTAACAGATTGTCTCAAGATTGTATGCACAGGAGAGTGGTTTTATGAGTTCATACTGTGAAATCATCAAAAGTAGCAGTAGGCTTATGATATAATTATAATTATTATGATAATTAAAAGAGATTTCAGGACCTTA